GAGGAAATGCATCTTCTTCTGCCACCTTCGGAATCCCACGCCCTCGAACTTATCGAGTTTATGAAAGTCTATGGTAAGATCTCTCACAGAAGTAGTCATCCTCGAGTGAATAACGTTTTTAGATTGTTAGATATCTGGGATATAAAAAGAAGAACAATAACAGAAAAGTAAATAGGAACCGGATAACTCTTCAAGGCGTGATACACTTTCCTAAAAACGTTATTCCGTCCTATACGAGCAAAGGACTGTCCGGAATACGTCTTTGAGATACAATGAAGAGAGAAGTGATCTTAGTTTGCTCTATTAAGAACACAAACACAAGAAATTGCAAGAAGAAGATGAACAAAAGGCTTTTGTGGGTGTTTTGCAAGAACAACCACAAAAGTGCTCTCAAATCTCTCAAAAAAACGAATAAGATCTGTATTCAATTGTGTTAGGATGTCCAGGGGTGTTAATCAACACTCCAAATGTCGAAAGGTGTGAAGAAATCGGAAGTTTTTCCCGAACGGTCGCGATTTTCCGCTCAATCCGAACTGCTCAGAAAAAACGGGCTGCCCGCCCGTTTTGTCGAGCTACCCGCCCGTTTATTTCTGAATTGCTCAGAAAAAACAGGCTGCCCTCCCGGTTTTCCCGAGCTACCGTCCATTTATTTATGAGCTTTATTCCTCAGAAAAAATAGGTTGCCAGCTCATATTTTCGAGCTGCCCTCCCATTTTTTCTGAGATTACCTTTCACGTTCAAAACCGAACGTAAACTCTTTCGACGTATCCCTAACACTAAGCCAATTCATACCACGTCTTTTACAAGCATTTAACTCCTCCACCATACTTGTAATACACGTTAAACATGAATCCTTTTGAGAAATTCTAAATTCCCATTCATTTACTCTAAAAATACCAACAAGCCTTATAACAAAAAAAAAGCAAACTCTTCATAATGTAGAATACATAATAGTTTTCGTATAATTAAGAAAATTAATGCATCCAAAGAAATATTATTTCATAGTTTTGAATCATGCCAAAATGAAAGATTTCATATTGCAAATATTTTAATTTCATTCCAACACTACAAAAAAACTGTTATATTCCAACAGACTTCCAATATGACCGTTGAAAATATTCCAACGGATTTAACCGTTGTAAATCTGTTGAAAGTTTCAACGGATTCTCAACGGAAAGTGCAAGTTAGAATATTTCAACAGTGTTTCCAACGGATATCCGTTGGTATATATGAAAAATAGTTCCAACGGATATTCGTTACTATTTTCAACGGACGCCTGTTGGAACAAAACGAACTGTTGAGGTTCATTGTTCCAACGGACATCCATTAAAAATTTTCGAACGTTGGTTAATGGTCTAATGTATTCCAACGGACGTCCAATGGAAATAATCGTTGCAAATTTTCAACGAACTTTCCAATGTAATATCAATGGATAAAATGTTGTAACCTCCTATGGAAATGTTTAATGAGTTTTCCAATGGAATTCCGTTAGAATTATTAACGGATTTCTCCGTTAAAATTCTGTTGAAAATTATTCCAACGGTCGTTTCCGTTGTAAATCTGTTTGATATATTTCCAACGATAAAATCCGTTGAAAATTATTCGTTAAAATCCGTTGTAAATCCCTTAAAATTCCATTGAAAATTATTTCAACGGTCGTTTACTTGAAAAATTATTCCAACGGCTGTTCAACGGATAGCAAATTCCAAAGATATATTTCCAACGAAAATCCATTGGAAACCTTGATTTCTAACGGAATTTTGGTCATTTCTAACGAATTCGTCCATTGAAAATAGCCATTTTTTGTAGTATTTAACCAAACTATTGCATTTTATGTACAAATTTGGTCCCTTTCATCGTTGGTGCTTATCTTTAACCTAGCATGAAATCATAAACAACAACAAAAGGGAGCAAAATAGGGTTTCATTTAAGGTAAAACCTTGAGAACAAGTACAAGTAATGAGTCGTATATATATTCAGAACTTAAGGTGTGATCCATTAAAGAGGACAGAATAAGGTATGATCCAATTATACATATATTTCTACCTAAAAACCTAAATGACTTTGATAATCCCTCCTCCCATGATAAGAATACAAAAAAATTGAAATATTTTCCTATGGAAGACAATGGATATTTTGATTAAGATTATATATATATATATATATATATATATATATATATATATATATATATATCATCTAGCCAATTTGTAGCACATATAAAATATGTTATATTATAATTACTTTTTTTTTTACATATCTATACAAGATATAGTTGTCACATTAGATATATAGTATTCACATTCTGTGTAAGTGATAATATTTAGATATTTAATTTATATCAATAATAAAAATATATAGACTTTTTACCGAAAATATATATATATATATAGACTTGGAGATGCTCTTAAAATATGTAATCCCTAACAAATTAAAGAATTTCCGAAAACATTGTTGGCCGTACGTTGTGATTGTGCCTTTTATTGTTCTTTAATAAAATACCTATAATCTTAATAGGATCCGAGGTTATGTTTAAAAAAAAAATAGACTAATAATATAATATTATATTATATTATTATGGAAAACAAAAAAGAATATCAGAACCTAGGGTTTAGATACACTTATCATCCAGATGGCATATGATTGATTATTTATGTCGGACATGAACCATGACGTTGCATGGGTCATTCATGGGGAACACACAAAATCCCACAAAATCTCTCAAAAGAGAGAAAAAAACAAAAAGACAGGTGCACTCATGAGTGTGTATGTGTATGTGTATGATAAGTGAATGAGTATATATATATATAACACATGTATGTATGTATGTATGTATGTATGTATGTATGTATGTATGTATGTATGTATGTATGTATGTATGTATGTATGTATGTATGTATGTATGTATGTATGTATGTATGTATGTATGTATGTATGTATGTATGTATGTATGTATGTATGTATGTATGTATGTATGTATGTATGTATGTATGTATGTATGTATGTATGTATGTATGTATGTATGTATGTATGTATGTATGTATGTATGTATGTATGTATGTGTGTATGCATGTATGTGTGTGTGTATGCATGTATATACGTATGTATGTATGCTTGATTCCCAATCCAAGCAGGAACTTTACATCAACCTCGAACTAGTTCCATTGGTTTGAGTTTTCATGATATATTGAACCTTGAAGATATAAAAGTGGCGTTATTTGAATGTTGGTCCATGTCTAAAATTAACTTGGTACATTCAAACCAAGAAATTAAAAAAAAAAAAAAACAATCCATATACTCTTTTTTTTTTGTTAAAAAATCTTTTTTTTTTTCAAATACGAGATGGAAAATTGATGTATAGTATAACTGTTACAATCTAAAATCAATAATTTATAATTATAAAATATTTTGCCCCTAAAAATATCATCTTAAAATTTGATTTATTGCCGATTAATCGCTATCCTTTAATAGGGTTTTGACAACAAAGTAAAAGGTAACGATATGCTAACGAAATTATATGACAAATTGATTGCTAAATTTTTAATGCAATACTATATGGTGAATATTTAAAATATCGTCAAATCGTAATCGATTAAGATTCAAGAAAGCAATCCTCTTTTTTTTTGTTAAAAAATCTTTTTTTTTTTCAAATACGAGATGGAAAATTGATGTATAGTATAACTGTTACAATCTAAAATCAATAATTTATAGCCGAAAATACATGCATAGCAGTATTTTTCATAGGTAAGCAGTCAAGTTTCATGTATACAAAAAAAAAAAACGGGATAAACTATAAGGTAATGTGAATGTCGACCAAAAAAAAACGATATTAGAGGTCTAAAGTTCATCGTTCTTAAGTATTATATCTGCATCAGCATCAGTGTGAATGATAATATATGGAACCACTGAATATATATCATTATTAACTTCACCCTGTATATACGTACACACAAGCGTATGTATATACGCATCTTTATACGTACAAAACGCGAAGGATAAACGATTTTCTGGTATTGAGATTAGGGTTTCGGTGGTCATGAGTTTTATGCCACTGTAAGAGCGTCACCTTAATAACTTATACAAATATTAATTATTCCTTAATCTCGAAGATTAAAAGATTCGAGAGAGAAATTGTTACGTTACCTTTACGATGAAACGGGAGAGCGAAGGGTATTAGACGATGTTGCTTCACCACCATTCATGGCTTTTCGATCAATCTGATGATTATTAGGGTTTTCGCCATTGATTCTCTTCCTCTTCTTCTTCTTCTTGTACTGAATCCCTCTTGCCTTAGACTGAGAATCCCTAACTTCACGCAAGTAAACCCTAATCGCACCATTCCCAAACGGGTTGAGACCGGGCGATCCACCGTGTTCTTCGTAAGCTGCTCTCAGCCGTCCGATCAAGGCATCGAGACTCCCCCAAGCTTGCTTCAATGGACAAGTACACGGTCCAGGAGGATCAGGCTGTCCGAAGAAGGCACAACCGTGATGATGAACTTTGGTCTTACCAAACTGATCCAAGTACTTGAGGAAATTGATCACGTGGTTGAAATTGAACTGAGTGACCGAAACCGGAGGTCTCTGGTTATTGAGATACTGTCCGAACGTGTTCCAATCACGGAGTTTCTGCGACTCGTACCGACTTAGCTGGCGGTGGATTGGACCGCTGGCCGGCGGCTGGCTCGATGGTTTATCATCTCGAGTGGATGATAACATCTGAAAATTGAAATTCTTGGTTTTTGAATTTGATTTTGAGTGATTTTGATGAGATTGAAAGAAGGGTTCTCTTGGTTTTTTTTTTGGAAAGGAAAGAGAATTTGATTCAAGTTTTGAAAGAAAGTGATGGAAGAGAGGAATTTTGTGAGTATCAAATCTTTTTTTTTTTTTGAGGGTTTCTCCTTAGTAGACAAAAGGATGTGCCCTAGGGCCATCAATGTTGTCTTCTTTCCTTTCCTTTTTCCCTCTCTAATGATTCTTTTTTTAATTATTTTATTAATTAGAATGGAATTTCCAAGTATGAAGAACCGGTCAAAAAATATTTGAAAAAATATTACTAGTCAGGAATCGAACACTCAATCTCAAGGTGGAGTTACCTTCTACCCCAAGCTTGACCACTCCCACGATCTGTTGGGTTTTGAGCATTTGATGTTGATATCTTGACACCCAAACTTGGTATTTCAACCGGAGAAATGAGCGTAAAGTATCTATCCCGCTTCAAATCCAAACCTTAAATTTGGAGAGATGCGTAAATTCCAAATTATATGGTTGATATTCCATCCCGAGATTAGTTTGGATATTAGTTATGGATATTCGGTTTCCCACAAAAAATGTTGATACCTTGGTGTAGAGTCTAAGTGCAAAACATGTATTTGGATGTAAGATCGGATGTATTTGGATGGGAAAAAAGCACCTTTTCTAATTTTACAACCTTTTATATATAGGGAAAAAAGTGTATTTGATATGGTCCAATTTGGGTTATATAGAAAAAAGTGTATCAAATAACAATATCCTTACCAAATGAAATACAGAAATCCATAACTATTTCTATGAGTTAAAAATTTTCTGAAAATATCTGACACAGTTCTACCTTTATTATTTATATATATCCGAGTTATGTTTTGATTTTTCAGACATAAAATCTTCGACTTTATGAAACTTTTATAACATATGCTTTTGCAGATTTCACTGTAATTTGTTGATGAGTACCAGAGAATGTCAGAGTTGCTATTGTAATCATCAATGTCCTTGTATTATGTAGTACATATTGATTCTCTCATTTATGTCAAACTCAGAAATTATGAAACTATAACTTATATATATATATATATATACATTTATATACATGAATTTTGCATCGTACTATATATATATATATATATATGTAAATATATTGTTCACATTTTATCTGATGGTAATGATGGTCTCATTTTGGCTATTTAGTGTACATATGTCAATGGGCATGTTTTTTTCCACTTGTGCCAAAGATAATTAAATTGAGGGATCTTCCAATCATTTTCAATGAGTTGACAAATTTTTATTATTAGTGGATATAAGTCACTCTAGCTACACAGTATAATATCATATACCAATTAAAAAAAATTAAAAATTATATAACTATATATATATATATATATATATATGTATATCCAATTATTGGAATCAAGAGAATTCCAAAACGACACATCTTAAGCTTATTCACCAAACAACCCATACATACTTATTTAGGGTTTTATAAAACTATTGAAAAATAATTCCTTTTGGTTTTATTTTGTATTGGATTTTTTAGTAACAAAAATTCACGTTTCATCATCTAAACTAAAAAAAACGAGAATATATAAGTGAATCTAATTTTCGTGAAAATCTTAGGAACATGACGACGACATAGTATAGAAATACTTTACAAAGAGGCGAAGAGGCACATTTAGCCACAACCCTAAATAGGAATATGCGTGTGTGTGTGTGTATATATGTGCGTGTAATGCATGCATGCATGTATGTATGTATGTATGTATGTATGTATGTATGTATGTATGTATGTATGTATGTATGTATGTATGTATGCGTTTTTGTGTACATGTATGTGCATATGAAACATATGGGCCCTTGATAGTCAATTCATGAGTAATTATCACTTTGTTGGAGACAACTAGGGTTAATTTTGGCTTTTATGATGATTGATCCTAGGAGGAGACTATGAATATATGAATCTTTTGATGCATATTAATTAATTTTTAATATTTCTAGTCCTTTGTATAATATAATTTAGACTTTAATTCTCATTACAAATTTAAATACAATGACAATGAAAAATACAAGTAGTTGTTTCTTTATTCCGACACAAAGTAGCCCATCAAATATTGCAATTTACAACAAGGCAAGTTCTTAGATATATGAATGAAACTGTTTTGAGATTATTTTTTTTTTAAATATTTTGAGATTTTGTAGTTAGACCGTCTAAATTCTATAGCATCCGTTAATAAGATTAATTATGAGCTTCCTGTTATCGAAAATAACCAGTTCTCAAAGCATATCTAACACAATATATATTAGGGGGGAATGTTTTGGTATTCGGTTGGGGAATACTTCGATTCAATTTTTTCGGTTTTATAAAAATAGGTACCAATCGTTTATTATATCATATTATGTTCGGTTTATTTCAATTCAGTTTCGGTTTTTATAAAAAAAAATTATATCTTTTCAAGAATTATTCGGATTTTTGGGGGTTTTAAAAATTCGGTTCGATTATAGAAAATTTAATTTTTTAAAAATAATACCGTTTGAGAATTTTAAATGATTCGTATCGAGAAAAATACCGTATTTTTTTATTGCCTACCGTTCGATCCAAACGTCCACAGCGCTCACCAAACAAATGGGTAGTCAGAGCCCCTATTCAATGCCATGATATGGGCTCAACTCGCAATATAAATTATTGCAACCTTATCCTTAAACTGTTGGAGCTTTACAATTGGATCTTGTCCGAAACAAAGGCTGATGTATGGTCCATCGATTGGGCAAACTTTAGCCCAAAAACAAATTAATACAAAGGCTTGTGATAAAATGGTAAGAAGTTGCTCGTAATTGAATTTCTAGCCTTATAACTGTTGGTAATATATTAAAGATATATACATATACAAATATCTCAGGGTTTATCGGAATATATATAAGGAGACTACGACCTAAAGTGTATAATATATATATATATATATATATCGATAAACTCTGAGATATTTGTGTGTATATATATAGATCTCACATTGTACGTGGTACCGAGCAACTCGAAATTGAATTATCTCACAGTTCAGTTGATTTACAGTGAGTCCATGTCTTTTCTGACACATGCATGCATGCATGCATGCATTGGCAAAGAGTTGTGTACGTACACGCATGCATCTGTCACGTGCGAACGTATATGTATTGTGATTCCGACACTCAAAAGTACAAACTTCTTACGGACCTATGTCTATTACTGTTTTAATTATAAAAAAAAATTAATTTCCTTCATAAATTTTAAATACAATTGTTATATACCCCCATATTAAAATATTAAAATTATATTTATCCTCTATTATAAATTTTTCTAAATCAGCCATGGTGCATATGTGTGTATATATATATATTTTGTGGTGAATCAAGAAGTTTTCAGGTCTATAAAATTATAGATTTATCTACTACATTATATATGGCTTCGGGTACGTATTTATTTCAAGGCCAGGCCCAATGGCCATTAGTTAAATTAATATTAATGTAATTAATTAATGCCAAATGCATCGAATTTCTCCACGGTAGATGAGATCTACAAAAGGTTTTAGAAAAAAGGGCAAATTAAAAAATAATAAAAAAAGAAAATTGAGTAATAAAATAAGGAGAGACAAATGATGAGTGTAGCATGTGTCCCAATCCGACACCGTACTGCGTATGCCACGCTGATTCCCATCCAAACCACGCAGTGTTGCCATCGATGCCCATATCTCTTCGCCCCTTTTTATTTATCTGTATATACAATTTATTCACATATTATATATATATATATATATATATATATATAAACTGCGATACCCATCAGTTAACAGCAAGAGAGATGATAAAGTTATCTTCAAAATGATGGATACGATTCCACAGGTGGAGCGGATGTAATTTCTAGATCAAAATGGTCTATATATAAAAACTGATCTCGTATCTAGGGTGGATGTGAATAGTTTGTAGATGTCAAATAAAAAATAAAATAAATCGAATTTTTGTTATAAAATCGGAGGAATATCAATGACCCGAAATATCGGATCGTTAAATAGAAATAGAAAACAATCGTCTAAAAGATTGGAGAATATATATATTTTTTTATTCTTTTATCTTTTGAAAGTGTGTATATAAAAAAATATAAATGATCTATTTGTAAAAATTCAAAATTACTATTCACACTGTTTATATATACGTCAATATAAACAATATAAAGAGCCCCTTTTCGTCATTTCCAACAAACGCAAGGGTATTTATGTCTTTTTGTATCCCCGTACACTGACTACGAAAAACCATTTCTTTTCCCCTGTATAATGGAATTGACGGGAATGGCTTGCAGTGTTGGCAATCTCTCTCTCTGCCATAGACAGCCTCCAAGTTTTCCCTCTCTGTTCTTGGCTGTTAAGCTGCCGCAATCTCACCCACCAAAAACCCAGAAACAAAAATCGATCTTTTTTCTCCCTGAAATCCGTTTTCGATTCTTCGTTTTCTCCGAGACCCATTTGATCCTTGGCCCAAAATTTTCTACAAGTTTGATGCTTTTTTCTCTCACAGAAACAGTAATGTATCTGTAGACACTGTTCTTCGATTGAATAAAAGCAATGCCTATTGCTAGATTTGAACTCAGGAACGAGTACGGCCTCGGACAACCGGAGCTGTACAAGGATGTTGATCGGGAAGACCCCAAGGCTGTTCTCGACGGCGTCTCCGTCGCCGGACTCGTCGGGATCTTGCGGCAACTGGGTGATCTTTCCGAGTATGAGCTCAATCTGCAAAATCAAATTTTTCCTTGGGAATTTTTATGGGTTTGGATTATTTTCTGTTGGGTTTGATTCTTTGAGGTTATTGCTGAATTTGGGTATGTTTTGTGCGGGAGATTGAATCACTTGCTTCCTTGCAATGAAGTGATCGTCTTTTCACTGGTGTCTCCTCTCAATGAAAAAGCTCATTGGCTGAAATAATCATAAATTGGCTTCAGTCATTAGGAGGTTTTCGGGTAATGAAAGTTGTGTTCTTTTTTTGTGGGGTTTACTGATATGTTCCCATTTGATCGACTTAGTGTGACTATCGAGTTGGTTTCAGGCTTCAATGGAATACATACATACATACATACATACATACATACATACATACATACATACATA